AACTGTATAAAGGTACCAAAAATGATACCAAATTTAACTCTTACAGTGCTTATGCAATAAAACTACAGTGAAAAACTTTATATTTAAAAATATCTTTAAAATTTGTGAAGTTTTAATAGACTGCATATACTAATTAAAAAAGCAATATTTAATTGGGCGCTTATATGGGGGTTGTGTGGAGGTGGCCAGTTTAGAACAAGGCAAAATAGAAAAGTTAACAGCCGAAGCATTGATTGTGGGAAGGTTTGTAATGCAACAGTAGCTAATACAAGGTACCAGAGGTGAAGGCATGAGGTTAATGGGAGGGGAATGAGGTGGTGAGGGCAAATAAAAAAAGTCTAAAAAACTCGACTACCCATCATTCTGAATCAAATCACTTATAATTTGCAAATACAACAGTATTGCATCATGACTCCCTCCTACATAGTGCATGTAATGGCGCGTATCAGCCTAAAGGCCGCTGTTTCTATGCTAAAAAGTCAGTCTTCTGCGGTGTTTCGTTTTGGTGAACTATGCAGGGGACAACGGATTCTACTACTCCGACGTTTCGCCAAGGAGCCAACAACCCAGCCCGACAGGCCAGGACACCAAGTGACCCAACCACAGCCCAACAACAGTCTATAAGTTGATAATTATAAAAAATGACTAATCCGAAATTAGAGAATAAACCAACCCGCTTCATTCCACAGCTGTCGCTCATACTTCAGTGGCTCGTTACGTCGTGCCTCAACAGCCAAAGTGCTATCACCCCTCAGCTCCTTGCCTCGGGCCATACGCGATGCCTTCGTCCATCGTGTTTTCCTCGGATTACGCTTCTTCTTAAACAGCTTGTGACATTTTGAACGACAAAATCGGAATACCTGAAACTTTGCCAATCAATAATTACTTAATTCACAGGATAACAATGTGCCTTAATTTAAGCATTATTGCTAATGCAGTGCACTGAAACATTTGTCTTTAATGAGTTTTTGGCATAATCCCTGTCAATCACTGGGGCAGTAAAGTTCCGCAAAATGCATGACAGGACGCATATGAATTAATGGACCGAAATATCCCAAAAACAGCTAACACTATTTTTGGCACTACTTATTCTTACTTTTTTTTGGTGTTTTTTGCTTGCATTTTGTTCAATTATTGATTTTCGTGCTTTTCTGAGATTTTTGATTTTTGGGCTTTTTCATATACTTTTTATGCGTTTTTTGCAACTATGCAATGCGGGAAACACATATTCATGAGAGGTTGTCTGTGTGTGTATGCTGCGCGTCTGTACCGATTTTTCATCTCGAGACGTCTAAGAGCTACAGGGCTGAAACTTTGGGGAGTTAATCTACATGCGCGTACGGGCCCCCATCCCCAAAATGGGCGGTCTTTCCGGCGCGGTACCCACGTACAAGCCCGTGAACTTTTTTTGAGTAAGTTGCTAATCAGAAGTCAGGCAAGCTTGAAAGCTCAAATTTTAAGCGATGTTTCCTGAGTGACGGCCAGTTTTAATTTGTTTATCTAGAAGTTGCTGGGAAAACCGGTGCCGGTAACGACAAAAACTGGGGGGAACTATGAAAAAACGCATCTTCGCACGGGCAGCCCGTGCCCTGGCCAATTATTACATATGTACTTGAATAATTAGTTCTTCATGCTCTTGGTACACCCGTATATATGTATATATATGTACATATATACATGTGCACATACATGTACACCATGAAGACCAAGAAATGTGTATATTCCATGTTAGTAATGGGAGTATCTATGCCAGGCCCTTCGGTCCCAGGATGCCATACCCTACCGGCTGTCCCCTCCTCCCTCTTGCCCCCTGTATCTGGAAAGATTCACAGTTATGTGGAAGCTCGGCAAGGGGAGCTGGTAAATCCTGAGTAACAAACACCAAATGAAATCAATAATACAAGGTATGGAAGTGCAGCAACCTCTGCGATGTCGAATTTGCCATGCGACAAATAAAAGATCCTGCTGTATTTATACGTGTGTGTGTGTGTGTGTGGGGGGGGGGTGTACATATGTATATACGAGTATATATGTGTATGTGCATGCATGCCCGCCTAGCCGCGGATGGTGCACATATGCGTGTTTGTGTGTATGTGTGCATGCGTGCGTGTGTATGCATGTACGTAATAAATTTACGTGCACGTGAAGAACAGAGAAACATACGGTGCAGTCGTTGCGTACGAATGTGATCCCGTGGCCCGGGTAGACGTTCGAGGAGCAGAAATAGCACTTCTCGATCCTCATCCTGCAACACAGCAGCGGAGAACAACTGGAACTCCCAGAGGTACCTGAAATGCAACAGCACAACTACTAAGGATTTACCGGAATCATCACGGAGCTTAAGCAGCTGAGAGAAAAACCTCCCGAACCTCTCCCACAATCTCTACTTCATGAAGGACAATCCCCCCTCCCACCCCGGAAAAAGCCGATCACAGCTTCTCTCCCCGCGCGACCATCCATGGTACTCCGCTCACCTGACAACTACTAGAACCCGACTCGGCCTGCGCCATACACGATTTGCGAAAACTTTTTTTTCAGCGGTGGCGAACTCCTTCCCGAGTTAGCAATTTTCCCCACCAGAAATTTTCACGGGTCCGTACGTGAGAACTACGCATGCTTGGTGGCTGAATTTGATAAATTTAAGTTGTGCAGGGTCAGCCCACGGCAAGTAGCGGAGTTGGAAGTGTTGCGGATGAGAGGGGAGGGGGGACGGGGAGGGGTGTTGCGGGTTTCGTTCGAAGCGCAGTTGGGGTGGGGAAGCTGGAAGAGGTGGAATTAATGACTATACAGCATAGATTCTTTGTTGCCTGGCAGGTTACACACACTTGGAAGATGGGAGGGGACCTCCCCATTTATGAAGCTTATGCTTAGGTAAAGCTGAGAGCGAAGAAGTTAAAGATGTGTAGATAAAGCTGAGTGCTTTCAACTTTTTGTAAGCATCAGCATCACAAATAGGAGAACTCACTACTGCAGATGGGTCTTTGTTGGACAGTTCCCACTTATATAAGCTCAGTTTTTATTTGCTTGTGCTTATTTTAGCTTTCCGATTCTTCATTTTCGTTATTTTTGTCTCTTTTCATAACTTTAGGTTTTCTTTAATTTACTTTTCTTTGTAGTGCTGTGTCTGCCTTTTTTTATGCGTTTTGTGCTGTGTAACAGCAGTACAAAACGCATATTGTTACGGGGTCGTCTG